CGTCAAATGCCTTTTGTACGCCGATGATCAAGTTATATTTGTATCGTCAGCGGCCGAGTTGCAAATGATGGTTACATTAATGTACAGGTCGTTCAAATAAAGGGGAATGAAAGTGAACGCAAGTAAGATGAAAGTTATGGTTTTTGAAAGAGAAAGACTAGAATGAGAATTGGTCGAGAAAGTGGATGAGTTTGTATACTTGTGATGGGTATTTAGCAAGGATGGGAGATATAATAATGATGTAGAACGACGAGTGAACGCAGGAAATAGAGTAAATGGGGATATACACTCTATTGTGAAAAGTCAGAATGTGTCAAAAAAGGCACGTATGGCAATTCACAATGGTGTGTTACTCCCTACTTCAACGTATGGTAGTAAAAGTTGGATATGGCAGAAGAAGCACGAGAGTAGAATAAACGCAGTAGAAATGCGGTCGTTAAGGAGTATGTTAGGGCTGAATCTAATTGACAGGTTGAGAAGTTGTGTAATAATAGAAGAGTGTGGTATGCAAGACGACGTTGTGACGAGGATTAAGAAAGGAATGCTTCGGCAATTTGGTCATGTAGAAAGAATGAATGAAGAAAGAGTGACAAAGAAAATTTATGTTTCAGAAGTGAACGGCAGCGTCGGTCGTTCTAGGCGAAAGTTTGTCGACTAAATTGACGATCTACTGAAAAGGGGCAAAAATAATTGTACCCTTAACCGATGAGTATGTATGCGTAGGTATATGGATGTGGAAGAGGCGAGAGGTGTGACAGGATCCTGCCAAATGGAAGTCATTAGTCTCTGCCTACCCCTCTGGGTGACAGGCGTGAGTGCTTATTTATGTATGTATGTATGTATTATTGCAACTCTTTCGGCCATTTATACCACAGATTGATTCAAAGTTCATTTTTATCCATATTTTCATATTAGTATAAACATTTCATGCATTTTAATGACTAATGGCCGCAGTTTATTCAAAAATTTTTAGTGTGTGTCCAACATGAAACACTTAATTTTGTACTTTGTTTGTAACCGATAACTCAATAGATTAAATAACTTAATTAATTGACAACTGTAAAATATTTTATACTTTCCATAAATATGTCGTAATATCTTTAGATTTGGAACATTTTTGTATTTTTATGGTTTATTTTAACCACATTTTTATAAGTAAGCATAAAAACTAAGCTTTAAAATGTAATATTTCGTTTTTAGTACATTTCATTTAATATTTACGTGAATAGGATTTTAGAAAACAATTATTTGTTTTAGTCTTTGTAATATTATTTCATTTTATAGTTGTGTAAAAATGTTAGATATGAAGGGGTTTACGTAAAAGGAATGTAAAAATTTTTTCTTCAAATACGTCACCTGCACGTGATGCATCTCTTTACTAACAAACCAGTCCCTGATGACCTTAAATAGTAGTTAATAGGCTCAGACCTCGCTTATCAAACTGATCCAGCGTGTTGGCGAACTTCCCATTACTTTAAAATTCATTAATTATACAGGCAAGCAGGCTTTCTCACAATGTTTTCCTTCGCTACAGCCGAGGTAAATTACTTAAAACGTCAATAATATCATCTAGTCTATATCATAAGTGACGTTGGAAATCGAACCTGGATGATCTGCTATGAGGATGTTATCATTTGAAATGTCAATCTCAAATCTCACACACATGGGGATGGAATGGAACAATACCACTAGCACAGGGATGTGAATTCTGCACATAACGACACCATCTGATCAGCGTAGTGAGATGAAACAATCTTTCATGAAATACATATCAGTTGACGTAGTCATAAAAAGGCCCATATTCAGCAGAAGAATAAATCAAGCTGTTTATCATAATACGAGCTGCATTAAGAAAGTATCACAATATTAGCTGGCTCGACAGATGTTGATTTGCCCTTTCCAGTGGACAAGTTTTGCTCCAAATTCATTCCGGACTTTTGACGACGTTAATATATAATTTATTAACTCAAAAGCGGTCCTGAACCATATGTCATTTACTTCTGACTCCCTAAAATTATAGTCCAGGTCGTCACAACAACATTACTCCAGAGAGGGTTTGCCCAACACAACGCTAGTAAGTTCGAGGTTTCCACTCGAGAACAGCACCAACTATAGACCTTTCTTCCTCATAGAGTGTCAATTCTTCGAGCTGTATGCCTGGGCTATTGCTATTTTGACTCCTCTTGCTGAATTATTAATAACATTATTGATTACACACTTTTCTTTTATTAAAAGTTTATTTTGTAAAACACATATTCACTGACATCAGTCTTTACTAAATATCCTCGGCTCTGTATATCAGATTTACGAACCTTTCACCTTACGGAACACGTAACATCAATGAAAATAAAATAAAACTAAGTAGTAGGATTAAACAAACTATTTTGTTTTGTGAACGTGACGTGCTAACGAATATAAACAAATACTCGATTAAGGCGGAAAAGCTCTGCCGATTTATCTTGAAGGGTATCGCAAATTAAACGGGTCGGTCATTCTGAGCGTTCATCTCGCGAAAAAAATAGAGATATAATATTTTCGTGATGTTGAACATATCATCGGCAGTACCGTTACAAAATTATATTTCACACCAAAAATAAAGGCTTTCGTGTCGAATATAATGAAAAAATAAATAAATATAGATAGTATAGGTATTATTTTGAATCGGATAATGAGAAATTGAAAGAAAAATATTTCTCCGAGTTCCGATCGTAAAACGAAGCTGGTCTAAATCTCATAAACTGGCAATAGCTGGCACGATGGTATCGTCTTTATCGTTTGTAATCCATCTGCCTTAGCTGGAACTTATCATGCCTAAAGTAAGACGATGCAACTCCTATCTTTAGAGCAAAATTATTAAGAAGCAGTACCACTCTAGAGGGATTTATAGCTAGTAAAAATCTCTATACAGCTAGACTACAAAATAATAAATTAATTAAAAAGCATACAGTTAACCGTCGCTCCTTAAACACTACAAAAATGATTAAAACAGAAATAAGGTCTATATTGTTCGGACAAAGGACAGAACAGGCAGTGTAAGGGTGGGACTTGCCACTTATACAAGCGTTGGTGCGAGCACACACCCGCAAAACAATCGGAAATGTTGTTGTGTGGATCTATCCCATAGTAGTTTGATATTTGAATTTTTATTTTGTTTTTATAGTGTTTTAATGTATTATATTTTATTTATAATACATTTGGGCTCTGCCTGAATCAAATAATAAAATAAAATTAATTTACTCTGCCCTTCGGTCTCTAAATTTTTATTTAAATTGTGCGTAGTTAATTTTAATGAACCCGAAAAAAAAATATATATATATATATATATATATATATATATATATATATATATATAATATATATATATATATATATAATCGGAATCTCGGAAACGGCTCCAACGATTTTCATAAAATTTAGTGTCCAGGGAGTTTCGGGGGTAATAAATCGATCTAGCTAGGATTTATTTTTAGAAAATGTCCTATTGTCCGTGTTTTCAGGCAATAAAAAACTGCTAAAATATAAGAAGGTAAATTTTAACAGATCACTCACGATCGTAATAGCTCAGATGGGATGTCGGTCGATGCGGGTACTTAATAAATTACATCAACATTCGTTTAAAAATAACCTTTAATTTATTTTTATCTTATTCTACACTTTTTCTATCTTTCCTTATACTTTTCTCTCTTTTATACCTCTGATTCGAAAATTTTTTTGGTTTGTGAAACATATTTAATTTTCTTTTTTTTTTGTGCAATATACCTTGCTGGGCTAATTTTGTTGTCTAATCTTTCCAAATCTAAAGATATTTCTTTAAATACCGAAACAAAACTGGAGTTTTGATGTCACCCCTAATAATAAACTTAATAAATTTGCAGAATGGGACATTGGAACACGTTACGTGATACTGGCGGTTAAAATTATTATCAAGGTAAAGCTTTCACAGGAAACTAGCTGTTCATTTGTCAAGGTTAGTACGACAGTCAACCTTCATATGTTCGAGATAAAGATAAAGCAGAAAAGAAATTTTCGTAAACGTTTCATAAAAGAGCTTTATTGTAATGTTATTTAAGAGTTTTAGCGTAAACTGGCTTAGAGAAAAACATTTTGTACATAAACAGTGACGTATTTAGTCACACGTTCAACGTGAGGTAAGTTGGCCCTAAAAGTAAAGAAAATAAAGTATGTTTTCTATGTATCATAATATGTAATGATAGTAATAAAATTAGCTGATACAGGTTCACAAAAGTATGTGTAGATTTCAAAGTATTTTTTTTTTATTCATATCGTGTTCTCGTATGTAATACTGGTCATTTACGAGACAATGTAATATATTAACCCTTAATTTGATTTCAGTAAGTATACTCAACACTCGAATCAAAAAAATATAGTACTATGTTTATGTCGCGGTTTAATATTTTTTTTGTTTTTATATAATTTGTAATTTAGTATTTTTGGTAGAAAAAAATATTTGAACCAGGTGGCAACACTAAATTTGACAGTACCAAGCAAAAATGGCGACCAGGCGAAACACGCTGCGGACTGTGCAGGTAATTTTACATTTTTTTTGTGTTAAGTGTCTAAAAATAATAATTATGACAATTGTTTATATTTCTATAATATATATCTAATGTTTAATCATCATTTTCAATTCTATACGCTATGAGATATAAACACTATAGGTATGTAAACGTGAATGTTGAGTATCATTAACAAAGTTCGGTGGTGTGTAATTGAGTGTGATAAACGTATGTTGAGTATACTCTACAAATTTGCATGGTGGGATATATGATGGCAGTTTTGTTTGTTAAGTCTTCTTAACAATAATAAGGGCTTTGGTGTTCTTATTCTATTTATAATATGCATAGCTTTTTTTCTTTTCACGCAATACTTTAATTTCCACCATATAATATTCCTTTCCGAGCAATATTAACATGTATATTGTGTGCGATAAAATGCTTGCTTTGTTTTTTGCCTGCAAAATAAAATTCTTGTTTCAGAATTTGAGGTCAAAACGTATTTTGGCCCTTGTACCCCAAGAAAACGCTCAATCTGATATAAGTGGGACATCGAACTCTGAGAATGAGCTTGAAGACGAAGTGTACAACTTTCAAAGTCGAGCTTCTGAGTCATCTGAAGCACCATCAATTGACTCTGCTTTAGAACGGCTCGATATAGATTTTTTCGATGACAATTATCCGAATACGGCTCCGACTGATCACACAGGATATGATGAGACTGACAATTATGATGATGACCACCAAGAAAATAACTTTTCACTGACATCCATAAGTTCTTTACCAACACTTTCTCCAATGTCAAACATACCTTCTATGACGCCATCATTTATAATCAACCAAGTAAGTGACTCTCCCCAACAATCTCCATGTAATTCTACTTCAACACCTCTTCCAAATCGTTATACTCGAAAAAGACGCCGTCAGCAAAACTCGATCTCGAAAAGACCTTGTATTGTTACTAAAAATAAGAAAGTCAACCTCAAATTTCAATGGTCAAGCGGACGTTTTCGATTTCGTGCCTAATTAGAACCCGATAAGTTTGAAAGTCCTATACCTGATGGAAAAACAACATTAGATTATTTCAACGACTTTTTTTAAGAAGATATGTTCGACGAAATATGTCACTACACAAATATGTATTCCATTCAGAAAACAGGCCGATCAATAAATTTGTCAGGTGCCGAATTGCGCAAATTTATAGCAATTAAAGTCATTACGGGTATCGTGTCCATGCCTTCATATCTGGATTATTGGGCTACTGACACCCGTTTCCCAATGGTTGCGGATGTAATGCCTCTAAAGCGTTATCAAATTATACGGAGATACCTACATTTTGTAGATAATACAGATACTGACTCCGATCCATATTTTAAAATAAGACCAGTAGTGGAAAAAATCCGTGCAAACTGCTTGAAAGTAGAAGAAGAGACTAGATTCAGTATAGATGAAATGGTGATTCCATATAAAGGCACCAAAGCTGGGAAAAAAAGACAGTATAACCCGCGCAAGCCACGAAAATGGGGCTTTAAAAATTTGGTGCGTGCAGGTGCATCAGGGATTATTTACGATTTTTTTCTTTATACTGGTAACGATAATTTTGAGGACTGTAACTTTACAAAGGAAGAAGAAGGCTTAGGTTGGGGGGGCCAAGGCTGTTTTGAGACTTTGTCAAAGCATAAAGAAAAAACCTTGTGTCGTCTACTTTGACAACTTTTTTTCTTCTTTGGAGCTAATACGCCATCTCAGGAATTTCTACGGAATATTTAGTCTTGGTACAATGCGTACAAATCGCCTGAGAGATGCTGGAAAAAAACTGAAACCAGACAAGGTTCTCAAAACTCAGGGTAGAGGGGCTTTTAGTCAAACTGTTTGTAATAAAACCAAACTCTCTGTGGTCAAATGGAACGACAATAAATGTGTCGTACTGGCTTCAAGTTACGCAGACGCATATCCACTAACTAAGGTACGAAGATACTGCAAAATTAGGAAGCAGAGGATTGAGGTACAGTATCCTAATGTTGTTATGCATTACAACGCCCATATGGGCGGCGTCGACCTGTCAGATATGCTGATAGCTTTATATCGCACCGAAATGAAGACCAGGCGCTGGTATCTATCGATTTTTTCGCAATTACTTGACATATGTATTAATAATGCTTGGTTGACTTACCGAAGGGATAATAAAAGAAAGGGAGAGACTAAATATATTCTTTTGAAACAGTTTAGGCTAAGTATCTACAAGGCATTGCTGAAAAAGGGGACAACTATAGACGCAGCTAATGTACAAGATCTTAATAAAATAAATAAAATAAAAAACCCTACGCGTTCCAGACCAGTAGATGATGTTAGATTCGATAATATCGACCATTTTCCAGAACATGGAAAGGATTATGGTCGTTGTGCTTATTGCAAAAAAGGATTTACCACCGTTTTCTGCATGAAATGTAACGTTAGACTTTGCTTTGTTAAAGATCGCAATTGTCATTATAATTACCACCATAGGAAGCCTTAATACTTTTGTCAATTTGTCAAAATTTTTCGAATAAACATTATTTTTTGATTGAATTATGTTTGATCTTGCAGTACCCTTATTGAGATTTGTTAAGAATACTCAACGATTATAACACTACTTTTTTTCCTGTACATCGAATTTTGTTGAATATACTTAACGTCTGTTTTCCAGGAAACCCTACAATAAATAATTTTATTTAGATTTTTCCCATACATTTCTAATGTCCAACAGTAAAATATATTCATCTTAGCTTATTGCCATAACTTAGCATGGCTTGCCAAATTAAGGGTTAAAGAATAATCGTATTAACTGTCATCATAAATCATAAAATGACCTGGATACAAAATTTACATTTTTGTAATTTTATAAACGAAGTTAGTGACGAATAAAAATTTACTATTTCATTTGTCAAACGCCAAAGTTTCGAAATTAGGTTTTTGTCATCGAAATAGACGTGGCAAAAGAAGCTTTATGGGATACTCACTGGGTTGAATTAGTAAATTTTGATCACCATTGGCAAAATTTTAATCTAGTATTTAATTATTATTTTAGTAGTATTATGCAAACAGGATTTCTTGGAATGCTTTAATGGCAAGTTATATGCATAATATGTAAAATATCAGGTTGATGTAAATAATACAGATTCTAATAAGAAAAATAGAGTAAAAAGCCGATAAATAATATAAACACATATACATTTATAAGTTTCTCCGTGGAACAACGTTTTATTCGTTTCATTTCTTCATAAATTAAATATACTAATATTTAATTTATAGGGAAAAAGTTCTTCTTCTATTTGGTAGTAAAATAAAGTATAAATGGGAACTGTTTTGTAGAGACCGTATAGTTACAAGCCGTGGCATTCCATCTTAGTCTTTACAGGGGACGCGTCTAAAGCTTACTTAATTTGAAGTTGGCTAAAGGTCGTTTATCAAATGCAGTAGCCATTTACCATCAGATGGACTGTAAGTTCGTTGGTCCCTTCAGTTTAAAAAAGGAAATTCATAACAATCTAAATTTTCCTATATTAATCGTATTGTAAATTGAAACTCAAATAGTTAATATATTTCATGAAATGGCTGCAGCTTTATTTAAAGCTCAAATCTCAATCGACCTTTGCAACATTTACATGAATAATGTTTCAATTTATATGCGCTGAGTTTCTAAATGCTAAATTTTTAAATATACGAGCAAAAAGAGTGATACTTTTTGGGGATATCATATCTGGGTAGTCCCCTTAACACCACCTTCAAGTAATAAAATATTTTTTTATATACTTTACAAGTTTAAGTTGTTGATACATAATGTTTGTGTTTAGCAGTTGCCTAAAAATGGTTATATGTTGAAAGTGTTGAATTTATGGGGCTCGCAAGTTTTTTAGAAGTTTTTCTATTACCATCCTTAAAAAGTACTGTGATGAAAGCGTGAGAAAATTGGAGAGAACAATTAATGTTATTTTTTATAAATTTATTAACATAATTTTTTAAATCCTTGAGTATCCTCATACGGCCCAGCTGTAAAGGACTAGATGGTTTAAAAATTGAAGTATATTCGTAGAGCCATACTGCAGCTATTGCATTTGCATATATTGTGGTTTTAGCACGATTGGGTTGGCTCGACCGGGACTACGCACGCACAAATAGCAGCTTAATACTGCTGTGTTTCGTATGTTGAGTGTAGAAATCTGGAGAACCTTTTTAATTTTAACACATGTCATGGTTACATGACCAATGTTTATTTGGTTGTTATCACCCACATCATATTGTAATTATAGAAAATAGTAAAACTACGAAGCTTCGTGTAGTTTTAGATGCTCCTGCGAAAACGTCCTCTGTAATACATCTTAACGACATACAACATATTTGCCCTGTAGTGCAGGATGATTTATTTTCAATTTTGTTGAGATAAAGGATACATAAATACGTTGTTACAGCAGATCTGAAAAAAATGTACCGCCAAATTCTGGTAGTTCCTAATCAGCGAAATTTGCAAATGATTTTTGGCTTGACGAACCATCACAGTAAATTAAAATATATCAATTAAATATAGTCACGTATGGAATGTCATCTGCGCTACTTCTGAGTACACGTTGTCCATAAAACTGCACAATTAATAAAGGCTGACATTTATGTTGATGACTTACTATCTGGAACTGAAGTTGAAAGTGAATTACAAAGTATAATCAAATCAGTAAGCTTTCCTTAAAGAAAATGGCGAACCAATGCAAGTATTCATCTTAAAGGTAAATCAAATACATTGTTACCAAAAAATTTAGATTTGACGTCACAACCCAGCGTTTTAGGTATTAAATGGGATCCAAGTAAAGATGTTCTTCGATTTCCAGTTAGCATACAGCCTATAACAACATATAACCAAAATAAGGATTTTGTCCAATTCGGTTAAATTATTTGATCCACTATGTTTTCTTAGTATTTGTACTATCACACGTAAAATAATTCTACAAAAATTATGGTTGACAAAACTTTATTGACATGATTCGGTGGATAATGTATTAAAGGCAAAATGGCAAGGTTTTATAAATAATATATCTCGGCGGACGATCCCAACGTTGTTGCTGTCGGAGATGTGGTACTTCAGGGTATGGAACTTTTTATTCCTTCCTCTGTGGTACCCATCAGAGGCAAATCGCAGCCATGGTTTGTTCTCCTGCAAAATAGCATCATGCTATAAGCAGGAGTGCTACCAAGCCTGAGCTGACACATCAACGTCGCGGGATGTAAACTCTCCAGGTCCTTCGAAAGAGTCATTGCCAAGGCATAGTCGGAGAACATAGTCAGAATCGGCGAAAAACTAGTTCACCTTCCTTCTGGAACCCGTGTCGTTATGAACCAAAACAAAAAGGTGGACGTTGCACGTGGCGCTCTTTGGGCAAATATACTTGCTATAAAGATTTAAAACATTAGCCGGTACGACGGAAATATGAGCTGCTACAGAAAGGGAACAACAAAATAAAAAACAGCTCAAAATTTAAAGGAACAGGCACTTATCGGGGGTTTCCGCCAGCGAGGAGCGGAAGTGAAGAAAGGTTCTACCGGTTTATGTAACTAACAAACAAAATGCGAAGGTGTTTTCGGCGTAACCAAGAGTTAAGCTGCATAATTTTCCCAAAACATTATAATACAAGATATTGTTATTACAAGCATTATTAACTAAAATAATATCAATACCTATTAGATTTCTAATTTAACTAGCTAAAAGTATATTGCAAATAAGTGTACAGAAATTTAATGTATTGTGCAGTTTTTTTGTTGTAGGAACTTTTCAGTTTTACTAAATAATCTTCATAATACGATTATTTTTGTAAGCTTGCGTCGTATGTTATTTTTGAAATATTGTAATTTTCTAATTGTTTTATTAGAGCGCCACATGCATGCTCTGCTGTATGCTAGGATTGCGTCTCACTTATGAATAATTCACGAAGGCTACCCCGGCAGCAAGAGTCGTTGATTGAAATTGTAAAATTTGATCAAATCAACGAAGTCGCTGTTTA